CTCCCTCCCTCCCTCCCTCCCTCCCTCCCTCCCTCTCTCTCTCCCTCTCCCTCTCTCTCTCTCTCTCTCTCTCTCTCTCTCTCTCTCTCTCTCTCTCTCTCTCTCTCTCTCTCAGCTCTCTCTCTCTCTCTCTCTCTCTCTCTCTCTCTCTCTCTCTCTCTCTCTCTCTCTCTCTCCTAGCTCTCTCCCTCTTCCACGTCGCTCCTAATCGCATTGCGCACATCCTGCGGACAAAATTCGATCAGTCCCTTCGGAATGAGTAAAAATCTCATTCAGTGGGTTCAGTAGATCCGCCACCCGGGTACGCCGAGCTCGGGCAACCGGCCCGGAACTTCGCGGGGATGTGGGCCATTCTGGTTGCGTCATGATGCATGGAGCGACGAGATGGAGAGGGGTCGACGAGTGAGGAGGAGAGGAGAGGAGGAGGAGACCATCGACAGTCTGAGAGAGACCGCAAGACCTCTGCTGCTCTCCCTTCCCGCCTCTCCCACGCTCGTCCGGGAGCCGAGGAAGCATGTTGGGTGACGGAAACTTCCTGTGGAATGAGACCCAAAGTGACGTGGTTGCGGCAGGAGGAAGCTTTCAATCGAGGCTCAGAGAGAGGTGAGCCTTCTTGTTCCTCTGCAAGGTCGTGCAGGCACCTGATCTTGTCTTCTGCGTCCACACAGGCCAGAGTTTGCGACGTTCTTCGTGTTCGTCATTCTCCTCGCTGTCATAGGGTTCGTCGGCTACTACAGCATAGCGTTCCAACTTCAGGAGGTCGTTGTTTTGAGTATGGGAGGAAGGTTAGTGATTGCAAGGATGCACAGGTTGAAGAGAGCATGTCCAGCCATCCCTGCGTCTTCGAGCACCACAGCAAATCCACCGGAAATGTTTACGACTGGGATCTGAGCCAACTGCAGAACTCCAACGAGAAATGCACCACCAGACACTGCAGGCGAGTCCTCGCCCTGCTCTCATGCATCTACTCATGTCGGAGCAGAGACTACTCGTTGACGAGAGGAGACGAGGTCTTCTTCTTTAACATTTGTCGGAATACCATGAATCTCCCCGACGAGTGCATAGCGCTGTACAAGGATCCATCCAAGATCCCGCGCGGCATCGGATATCAAGTGCCTCTCAAGGGAGTTGAGGGAGGGGGTGACCTTGTTCCAGACAGCCGATGGCGTCTGTTACAAGATGGGAGACGCGTCAAGAGCGCGGTGGTCGTTGCTGGACCCTCGGTGCAAAGTACCCGAACCCCCTTCCCACTGAGATCCTGACAGACGGCCGTCCCGCGGGGTGAAGTTGGACTACGGAGGAGGATCAAGGTGAGTAGCAGCGTGTGTACCTTGTGTGCGTGTCCTCAAGAGATGATAGATGCGACGGGAAAACCTCAAGATCCATCTCATTCCATTTCGAATGCGATCGCACGGCAAGTTCAATGTCTCATGGCGTCGTATTGAATGGATCATGGCAGCTGAGCGTAGGAAGGCCGATCGCCGTGTACGGTGATTGCGAGTTCGTGGTCCGATGGCGGACAGGTTATGCTTGCCCTCGGAAGGTTCACATGCCCTGGTTGTGAAGTGCTCGTGACACAAGTTTGTCGCAGCCATCTACGTTTCTTCCCATCTTCTTCTGGGTGTTGGTGGCGGTGGGCCTTTACCTGATCGCCGTCTTCTACTACAACGTCAGGTGCTCCCATGCTCTCTGAGCTCAACGACCGCAGCTTACGTCAAGCTGTCCTGCTCAGGTACCGTAATCTCCCGGCGAGCATGGAATCTTTCCCGCACATCAAAGAGATTCGTCTGCTGGGGGCAGCAGTCATCATGCTGGTGGAGCAGGTGACGGTCGGGGGTCAAGGCTGCCCTGACCCTCCCGACAGGTCTCAGCTCGCATCATGGCATTCTCACCTCAGGGCCGTGACTCCAACGGTGGGACCGCATTCCTCGCATGCTCTCACGCGTTCCTCGCATGCTCTCATTCAAGTGACGCTGGTGCTAGGATGGAGAAACTATCTCCGAAGAGACGCTCCTCCCACGTGAGCGCCTGACATCTGGTTTGTGCCTGCAAAACAGGGACAAGTCGATTTTGCGATTGAAGGTGGAGAGGAGGAAGATGACCCACAAGGAGGCAGATTGGCATCGAGTCTTGAATCCTTCACTCTTCTCAGATGTTAACAGTCACATACAGCTACAGCCACCCCTATCTCACAACTCCACTTTCTTCTCGCGTTTCGCTTGTGCTCTGGAATACAAAGACTTCAGCTCGAGACAGAGAATGGCAGTGCATGTGCATCACCTACACTTGTCACTACAATATTTTACTTCATCCCAGTTCTTCTCCCATGACGTCCGCCATGTCATCGGTCGTTTACACATCCTGCATGGCTTCCATTCCTTCCAACCTCCTCGATCCCAAATCTTCCCCGCCACCGACGACATCTGTACGATCACAGGTGTGAGATGATCTCCTTCAAACCGCCTTCTTCCTTACTCGTCTCTTCCTACTTCTCCTTCCCTTCCCCTCCCTCCCTCCCCCCCCTCTTCCTCCCCCACCCTCCCTCCCCTCTTCCTCCCCCTCCCTCCCCTCCATCGTTTCCTTTCCTCCCTCACCATACAAGGCGCACCGGGGATGGGGCCCCATCCCCGCTCAATCAGTTACGTTCAAACGTTTTATAACGCTCGTAACGATATGGTAACGTTTTTTTGCCGGAATGGCCTCGTGCACAGATCTAAGAAGAAAAGAGTGGGTGGGGTATGCGAACTGATGAGGTGGGGGTGGTAAGGTTGAGGGATTCAGATGGGTGGGTTGATCAAAATTGGGGGTGATAGACAGAAAAAGTATATGGAATCAAGACGGAGGTGACTGATAGTGGGTAGGGTCATTTCAAATAATTGTCGAAAAAGGGGTGGGTACATGTTGGTGTCTTGGGGGTAGTAAGAAGTGTTCGAGCATTTCGACCGGGTGGGGTTATACATGAGGGGTAGTTTTTAGTGAGGAAGGAGGGGTAGGGTACCACTTCGGCAGCGACGATGGGGAGGAAAGAAGAATGGGAGGATTTGGACGTGAAGGCGGACGAGCGCGTGACGATGAGCCTGGCGACTCTCATGATGATGGACGTCCTTGCACTGGCCACTGGACCTGTGTGTGAGTATATGCGGAGGAGGAGGTGAAGGAGGAGGAGGTGACGGTTGTGGCTGTTGAGGAGGTGGCAGTGAGTGGAGGCGACGATGATGGAGACGATGATGATAGTGGTGGTGGTGGTGGTGATGGTGGATGTGGGCTTTGTTGTTGTTTGCTTGTGATGGAGTTAGAAGAGATGAAGGAGTGAAGTGGAGGGTTCTCACGTCATGAAAGTGAAAGTGGATAGTAGATACAAAGGTGACGACATTGATGTGCGTGCAAGCTGAGATGTAGAATTCCTGCTACCTTGCCTTTAAATGTTGTGGGATTCGAGAAGACAAGAGCAGATATGGGCAGAGGAGGGCAAGGGTGAACGGGGAAGAGAGGCAGGGAAGAGGAGAGAGGAGTGTAGAGGACTAGAAGCAGAAAATGATTCAGGCTGGTCCCCATTGGATGTTGGAATAGGAAACATCCGATAAGGATGGGTAAGGATGGATGAACGATTATGAGAACCGTCAAGGTGCTAGAGTCGTGGTGTATGTGTCTTGGCTTGTGAACATGAAACTGTCACAACCACTGGAAGTAGATATGGTCTTTCGAGTTTGTATAGACCAAAGGATTCTGATGTGTAGAGGGCGCTCCTATGTCTCATGGTGAACTTGATGGACTTGAACGTGTTGGAACGTGTTGTGATGTAGTTCATCCCTCTCCATCCTTCTCTCCCTCCTGGTGTCCCTCCTTCCTCTTGTTTCGTGTCTGGGCCCTCTTGCTGTTGTGACTCTACTCCTGATCCTGTTGCAGACTTGCTCTCTGCCATCTTTGAGGTCAATGTCATGGACAATCTGCCAGTGTTCGCAAGTGTTGGGGTCCTCTCCGTCCTCGTCCTTGCGCTTGCCTGCCAGAACCGTCTCAAGAAGCTGCGCGACAGGTTTGTCGCTCCTCACATTCTCATTGCCCTTCAGTATGCTGTACCCCTTCATGATTTTTGATTTTCCGCCTTGTCCTTGGCGCTCTTCTTGTCACAGCGTTCTTTGTGCTTGGCATGATCGCTGATCCTTCATGTTGGTACCGAGAGGACTTCCTCACCTTGTCCTTGCAGACTGATCAAGAGCCGCGGCATCGAGCTTGAATCCACTGCCAGGCTGAAGCAGAAGGGTGAGATGGATGAGAGGACGAAGAACAAGCTCAAGGCAAGCAAAAGAGAGTGTCGGTGGGTTCGGAATTGACACTACCTGCCACAGGAGGCTGAGAGGAAGAGGTCCGAGATCAACTGGGAGGTGACGATACTGCCCTAGTACCGTGTGTCTCGACAGCTGAGTTGTGATTCGAACAGGCTCTTTCCCTCGCTCTCTCCAGCACCAACTCACTCTTCCTCATCGTCTTCATGGGCCTCGCATTTTTCATCTTGAGGTGAAGCTAAAGTGCTCTCCTCCCTCCGTGTTCTTATCTCCTTCGCAGATCATCGTCCCCTGTCATCAACTACGCCGCAAGCTCGGCTGGTTCCTGCGCCATCGTCTTCTACATGTCTACCCGGTAGTTCGAGCCGCTTTCTGGCATCTAGCTGACTCTTGTCGCAGTGCAAAGTAAGTCCGCGCTACGTTTGATTTTTCATTTCAACAAGAGTAAAGAATATCTTTGCAAACACAAGTATTCCGCAAACTATACAAGTACATGGCTCACACCTCACACTGGCTCCAATTACTTGAGCCCGAAGATTCGACGCGCAAAGGAATGGTTGCGCACCCAGGGAGCAATCCTCGGGACAACGGCGATTGTCAAGCCGTACCTGGCCCAAGTCAGCAAGTGGGAGGGGGACGAGAAGGTGGACAAGGAGGGAGAGGAGGGAAGGAAACGTTCAGATGAAGTGGGGAAGTGAGACAAATGTAAAGAGGTAGTGACCAGTGGAAGGGGCAAGGTCAGGGAGGAGGAGAGGAGGAGGATGAGGGTCTACCTCAGGGGAGCTGTACACTCTGCTAACACGAATGCTGCGGCAAGGTTTCCTGACCCGTTCTTCACTCCCTCGGCGAGCTGGCTGGGAAGTTTGTCGAACCAAGGCTCCAAGTCCACCACACCCATGTAAAGGCCCGTGTAGAAGATCCCCGTGGTAAGCACAAGACCGCTGAGGTGGAAGGCAGCGGCAAGCCTGCCGTACTCGGCCATAACGTCTTTCAACTTGGCGGCCAGCGAGAAGATCCCTCTGCTGCTGCTGTCCTCTACAGTCTGCCTGCGCCTGTGGGTATGTGTTGAGCTTGCAGCAAGGATCTTAGAATTGAGCTTCATCTTGTTGAGCATGTTCTGACGAGCCCGTTTGAGGAAGTGGAGGGGATAGAGGTTGGGGACCCGCAGCATCTTACAGTCCTGCGACAAGCGCTGCTGCAGCTTCGCCTTCCCTCGCATGATCGCCCGTCCAAGGGTCGTCTGACAGACAGGCAGCCGTAGCACACTGTCCTTGTCCTCTGACAAATGCTGAAGATTCTGTAGAGTGATTCTTGACGATCGAAGCATCCGGATCCGAGAGGCCACTGACATCTCCAGACCGGCGAGCAGGTACGGCTGCATCATCACAGACCCCGCCATCACACGCGCACGCTGAATATGCAGCTCCTGCAGCAAGGGTTAGCTCAAGCAGACGAACGAGCTGTTGGGTAGGAGAGAGGAAAAGATTTGTGATCGCAAGTGACTGTGATTGTTTCTTCTCTCATCTCTGTCCTACACAAGATCCAGAAGGAAAAAAAAATCAGATCGCACATACTCTACACGTTGAGCAGCTGCAAGGCTTGGGAGATAGCAAATGAAACACCAAGTAGTGGAAGACTGGTGAACGAATCTGCACAAGATACAGCATAGCCATAATGTCCTATGCAAGCAAATGTTCTAGTCGTCGGTCCTATGAATCGTTGACCATCGAGGAAAGGAAGGGACAGGCAAGCAGACACAGCGCAAGGTAGTGGATGACATGAAATATCGTGAAACTTTGCCTTTGGATAATTCGAAACAAACAGGAAGAATAAAGCAGTAGAAGCCAAAAGGACAACCAGGACTTGAACAAGCCCTGAAGCCTTAGTTCACGCTCAAGACTTGCCGGTTCCATTCAAGCTTTCAAAGAGTACTTCCAGGGCGTGCAGAATAAAACTAGGAAAACTTTGAGGACTCTTGTCTTCTTGGAAGCACAGGAAGACAGACATAGCAAGCGGGGGAATGTTTTACGAACAAACGTGAGCTAAAACAGCTAGAGAGGGTTGAGACTGTTACTTGGTTACGAATAAATGCCAGAGAATATCCAAGAGAAATTTATCAAGAGAGAGGGCAAGAGGGAGTTGTTATTGTATGCGAGTTTGATGTAGCATGAGAAATGAAGGATATGAATGAAGATGCGTGTTTGTGAAAGATTTCACGACAAAGATCGCATGGGACGAGGAGAAGGGATAAGAAAGGAGGAGAAGGGGGAGAAGGGAATTAGAGAGAAGGGAGGAGAGAGGAGGGAGGAGGGAGGAGGGAGGGAGGGGAGGGGGGGGGGGGTTCGAGAGATTCGAGGGGACGCAGGGTGGGGTGGGGTGATGTTGCAGTATTTCAATATGGGTGGGGTATTTAGTACACCGGTACTTGGCATTGTAATATGAGTCCCTAATGAGGGTACATGAACCAAAATAGTCGATAGGGGTGGATACTCATGTGAGAGGGTGGGGGTGGGTCTATAGCTTGTTCGGGGAGGGAGGAGGCTTAGCACACCTGATTGATACGTGGACTCAGACAGTGAGTGATCGGACCCGGCCCGGTGACCCGGCCGGGGCCCCAGCCGGTCGGGCCACTGAGGCCACACCGTGCGCCGGCCGAGCCAACCACCCCCCTCGACTGTTGTTCCGGGGAGTGACCCCGTGACTTGCGGTAGTGACCAGGGGTCCCGGAGTCCTCCCTGAGCATGGGCACAGTGGGGTGTAACCGCCAGTACCCACCCCCTGTACCCACCAGAAGGGGGGCACCTTTACCAATGACTATGTAACATGGCGTTGACTACTACCTCACCACCCCCTGGCCCAGCAGGTCAGTGCAGGCTCGCGATCCGCCCACCGTACCCTGAGTTCACCCCCTCTCCTTAGGGAAATTAAGTCTGTACGGTCTGGGGAGGTAGGGGTCATTGGCAAGGGTAGCCTGGGGTCCGAAGGCACCAAGGGTGGGGGTCTGAACTGAGCCTTCGTAGTCGTGATCAGAGTAGAGTTTGTGGAATGCTATCAACAGAGGGGTAGGGGTAGTGATGGAGGGAGACTTTTAATATCAGAAGGTGGGTAGAAAGACGGGAAGCATCAGGGTGGGGGTAGACAAAGTTGGGGTTGTGGGTCCAATAGTAACGGGCGGAAGGAGGAAAATGGAGCGAAGTTGGGAGCGAGCGATGAAGAAGGTAAGACAAGAGCGGAAATGAAATGCAGAGACAGGAAGAAAGGAATTCGAGAACATGTTAGCAAAGATAGACGAGACTTGTGCGCAGAAACGTGCAAGGGTACGCGGGAGGGAACACAGGAAGGGACTTGGAGGCAGTTCGAGCAAGAGAAAGAGTTGAGGACTAGAACGACATGAAGATATCTGACATCAGTATTATGAGAGAACAAATGAAAATAAGAGGTTTCGGAGGAATGGAATGAGGAATGTGAGATGGAATCATTGAAGAGCAAAGAATTGCATGCTTATGGATGTGATCGAGCATTGAATGGGGATCCTTATGGTGGTTACAACGATCTCAGACATCTCAAAGGGAAGAGAAAAGTATGTGTGAACTCACATGTTGCAGGTCCTGGAGGGTATTGCATTGCGAAGGGCAATACGCAACAGGACAAGAACATGTGAGCGATATCAAAAGTGTTAGTGTTTGGTGCTGACCGCTCCTCAGATTTCAAACTTTGGGTTGAATTCGCAACGCAACATCTTATGCAAGTATGTATACATCGGTCCTATCGAAAACTGGTGCATACAAATCGTAAGAGGGCAAAGCATTACCTGTTCTCCTGGGCCGAGATTGCGCACAGACACAAGGTCCTGCACACGAGAATCCATAATTTCTTACTGAAAAAGTGTCAATGGAAAGTTCAACCTGGTAGATTGAAAGACATGACAGCAATGGTCATTCTAGTGAATTCATTCCTGCAATGGAATCATATTGCAAACAATGAAGAGCGAGTCAACTTAAGAAAAGAATTGTCAAATCAATTATCAAAAAATTACAATTCCTTGTATTTTTCACTTTGGAGTGCCAAGCATGGGATGATTGTGGGCCAAAGGTCACAAAAATGTAGCTATGTTTTTATGCAATCCAGAATCAAATCATTACGCAGATGTTTCAGAATACTTGATGCACATAGATCAAGAGTGACGATACTTCGTCAACGTCAGAGCCGTATCATTGCAAGTTGGGAATCTCTTCGCATTCTATCGTACCTCCGAGACTGGAAACATACTTTGAGTGTTCACAAACTGAAGCGAGCCAAAGTTGGACAACTTTTCGTTGACAGGACATATACTTGTTTGCGATTTCACATGCAAAAATGGATCCATTATTGCTCGGATCAAAATTATTACCACAAGAAATTTCTTCAAATTTGGGAGCAATCCATTCATCGAAGGCAGGTAGAATGCCTATCAGTATGGATTATGTATATGCAAACCATGAGCTCCAAAAGAGGCATGGTATGTCGTGTAGAGGACACATATACCAAGTCATTGATGTTTAGTTTTCTGGGTCACTGGAATGATGGTAAACATTCGAGCACTGAGGTTCAAAAGAAACTCAACAGACAGTATAAACATTTTGAAACAAGACTCTCTTTGCAAAAATTCTCACCTTCTATCACGTTATTTCTTCCATCTGTTCAAAGGCGCAGGAAAAAGGAGATGGAAATCGAAAATGTACCAAACAAGATCACTCAAGAGTTATTTTCGAATGAAACAGCACCATTTCGAACTTTGGTACGCGTATACAAAACACAATACTCATTTGTTACGGAAAGCGAGCATTGTTCTTCAGTCTCGATACAAGAAGGCATGCGGAGACACCCTGGATCTGAAAGTAGACAAGAAGTTCTTGACAAACAGAAGCAAATGTATTGAAGTGTTGGCTAGTTGGAAATACGTCTTGGGCACAAGAGATAGGGTCTTGTGGCTATTGAAGAAAGGGTTTGGAAAATTGTTGTACAGAGCTTTTCACTTATTTACAAATATGATGCATGATGCTCGTTTGATTCGAGCTGTCACTTTTTCCGCAGTTTCGAGAAACAGAAATCTTCTTAAAAAACAATGTCTCCTCGAATGGTTACATTCCTGCAAGCAAACTCAACATGCTTCCAGGATTTCGTCTCTCATTTGGAGAAGAGCAACGCGTCGCAATCTGTCGATGTGCATGAAAATTTTCCAAAATCATACAAAGAGATCCAAGTTTTCAAAATACCTGATTTCAAAGATGTCAAAGACGATATTTGCAAATATGCAGAAATATTACTTTCAATTTTGGTACCAAGAACTATCAGCTAAGAACGATCGGGCTACGCACTGCATCCAAAGAACAGAATCCAAGATGTATCTCAGTTTGATATGCTCAACCTTCAACAACTGGCAAAAGCATGTTGGGTGTATGCAGTGCGCCAGACAATTTGCAAACTACAGACTTCAATCTTACCAGAAACGGAAGCTACAAAGTGTGTGTAAAACATGGCAAGGACACACATACTCAAATTGTTCATACAGGTCTAACCTTCAAATTCAAGTATCCAACCGATTGAACCGATGTACAATCACAGAATTCTTCAACAAGTACACTCAGTACATTCAAATCAGCAAAGAACTTCAACAAAGCTATGCCGTAATCAGCGTGAACAGAACGCAGAGAACAATACAAGATTGCTTCACACAGATGCACTACACCACGATTGAGTGCAGGCGTATGCGCAAGAGGGAGCAGCAGATCCGCCGCACCATCTGGCTGGTGGTAACGCAGAGGCATGTCGAGGACCTGTTTGTCGCATGGGCCGAGCTGGCTCAGGACTCCAAGTCTAAGAGGCTCGACCAAGACACAAGGCTGCGGCTACACGCAGGCGCTTCAATACAGGGCAGGTACCGGATCCAGCGTGGGGCGTTTGTAGGGTACCGGGAGGCAGTGTGGGAGGCACGACGGCTCAAGGCTTGTCTGCTGCACACTGTACAGAGATCGCTCTCCATGCAGCTCTACACCCGCTTCCACCGCTGGGTCTCGTACACACAAGCGGCTCGAGAGCTCTGGCGACTCATGCAGAGGCTAGACCGGACAAGGTCGCAACGGCTGCTCAGGCGGGTGATTGACGAGCTGTCTGCGTATGTCCAATCTGCGGTATCAGACATGGCGACGCTCAGGGTAGAGCAGGCGAGCGATGCTAAGGCGCGACGGATGGAGGAGAGGCGAGTCACAAGTCGGGGCTTGCAGGCGTGGTCGGACTTGACAGCCTGGACGCGGTGGGTGCTTGCCAAGGCTAACTCGATCAAGACTCGAGTCGTGCGACGAGACGTCCGGGTGTACTTTGGGGTGCTGACAAGCGTGGTGGCTGCAAGGAGATCTCGCCGGGCTCGTCTGCGTGAAGGCGCGTGGCCTCGTATCGCAGCGATACTCAGCGGGCTGTCTTGTGCCACTGGAGGGTGTCGAGTGGTCTGAGACGACGATCTCGGGGCATACAAGCGAGGGCGGTGAGGTCAAGGGCAGTGGAGCAGATGGAGAAAGCGATGGCGGCATGGAGGGAGGGCCTCAGCATGTCGAGGACCATGAAGCAGAGCTCCAGGCTCGTGACAAGGAGCTCGACGCTCAGCTCTCAGGCCGGGGCTTTTCTTGCTTGGACACAGCTCGCTCGACGCATGGCGGTGCTGCGGGCGAGGTACGCGACGATGAAAGCATCAAGAGACAAGAGCACGGCATGGGGCGCGATCGAGCGGTGGAGGGCTGTCCGAGCCAGGCGGACGGTAGGGGCGACAGCAGTGGGGCGGCTAGGGGAGCGCAGGAGGAAGGAGCTCATGGTTTCTGCGTTTGAGGCGCTGGATTTGTACCTGCTGAGTGTGAGACGTCTGCAGTATGGCGTGAACAAGCTCGTGGACCGAACCCGCAGGGCTGCAAGCAGGCTTGTCTTCGTGAGCTGGGCGGGGCGGGTCAATGCCAAGCTTGTACTGCAAGCGAAAGCGACGTCCTTTCGCGCTAACAGGGACCGCCTGTGCTTGAGCAAGTATCTAGTATCGCTTTGGCAAATGCGAAATGTAAACCAGTACGTGAAGACAGAGTTGGACATCAGTCGACAGACGAGCTCCTTTGCCTTACAGCGTATGATCTCGAGTCAGATCTGCAAGGACGTCAAGCTTGCAGCTCGTCCTGGCGATGAGTTGATGGTGATGAAAATGCAGCTCAAGCCTTTACTAGCGGAGTGGGCATGGGCATCGCGTCATAGCTCCCGCACGAGGCAACGGAGGACACATTGTGTAGAGGTGCTGAGGCGACGACGAGCAGGAGAAGCCTTGATCCGTTTCGCAGCATCGGTGGCCGCATGCCGCCGTATGCGCAAGAGGGAGCAGCAGATCCGCCGCACCATCTGGCTGGTGGTAACGCAGAGGCATGTCGAGGACCTGTTTGTCGCATGGGCCGAGCTGGCTCAGGACTCCAAGTCTAAGAGGCTCGACCAAGACACAAGGCTGCGGCTACACGCAGGCGCTTCAATACAGGGCAGGTACCGGATCCAGCGTGGGGCGTTTGTAGGGTACCGGGAGGCAGTGTGGGAGGCACGACGGCTCAAGGCTTGTCTGCTGCACACTGTACAGAGATCGCTCTCCATGCAGCTCTACACCCGCTTCCACCGCTGGGTCTCGTACACACAAGCGGCTCGAGAGCTCTGGCGACTCATGCAGAGGCTAGACCGGACAAGGTCGCAACGGCTGCTCAGGCGGGTGATTGACGAGCTGTCTGCGTATGTCCAATCTGCGGTATCAGACATGGCGACGCTCAGGGTAGAGCAGGCGAGCGATGCTAAGGCGCGACGGATGGAGGAGAGGCGAGTCACAAGTCGGGGCTTGCAGGCGTGGTCGGACTTGACAGCCTGGACGCGGTGGGTGCTTGCCAAGGCTAACTCGATCAAGACTCGAGTCGTGCGACGAGACGTCCGGGTGTACTTTGGGGTGCTGACAAGCGTGGTGGCTGCAAGGAGATCTCGCCGGGCTCGTCTGCTGAAGGCCGTGGCCTCGTATCGCAGCGATACTCAGCGGGCTGTCTTGTGCACTGGAGGGTGTCGAGTGGTCTGAGAC